TCCTTTCTTTTGTCTTTTTAATTGGTCTACGTTCCTGGTTGCTATTTAATTTAATCAAGATGACTGCAAACTAGGTAGATTGGATGCAATTGCCTGTCGAGCACTGGATGAAGATAAAAGATTACAACTATGTGAAAAATGTTGTTAAGTACTGTCATGTTGTGAATGACTGCGCCGAGAGATGTGTAAAACTTATACAAGACTTTAAAAAAAAAGTCAAAGAACCCGCGCTTCACTACTTCACCCACTACTTCAAATAGTGGAGGACCATCGCAAAAGAACTTCTCTTCAAGGACAAAAAAAATTTAATGAATACTTAATCATTTTTTTAAACAGTGCTAATTATATCAATCTTACATTAACAGAAGTTAAAATGCTGAAAACCACTTTACTATTTAAATCGGGGGGGGGGGGGGGGGGAGGGAAAGGACTCTTAAATTAAGTATTTTTTTTAACTCAAATTTTTTATATAATATAAATAAGATAGTAAATTATACTGTATGAAAAGTTGAAGTTGATTTGAAATATATTTGTTAACATTTTGAACAAAAATACTTAAAAAACACGGTAAAAAAGGTTTTGCTCAACTTTTTCTATATGAGGGCCCCTTAAACTTTTGTATTTTTTAAAATTATTTTTTTCTTAGTCTAAACCTCAATTTTAAAGTTGGTGAGGTAATTCGAAAATTTTGCGGAAATGGGACTCCCTAATCATAGCCGTAAGCATAGCCTATTACGCCTCAGTCTTACCTTTTTGCTCACCTTTAGTGTTTTTTTAATTATACCGAAGCAGCCGTGGCGCAGTGTTAGCGCTCTTGCCTCAGAAGCAAAGTATCCGTAGTTCAAACCTTACCTCTGGGCAGTTTTGCGACAACGGTTAGGAAGGAGGCGTGAACTTCCAATTAAATGCTCATCTGCGGTGCTTTCTGATAAAACCGTAAGGACTTCTATGGAAGTCATTTCATTAGTGTAATTCAAATTCTAATGTTCTATTTTACATCTATATTTTTACGATATTCAAATAAAAATTATAATAACGTTAGTCATGCAAAGTAAACAAAAATGTTTCAGTAAAATGATTACATTAGCAAAAATGCTGAAAAAAATTAAAAAAAACATAACAAAAAACAAAAAAATATTTAGTTGTAAAATTAAAACAAAAGAAATAAATGATTTAGAGCTTGTCACCTTATGCAAATCAGCCAATGGTAATATTAGACCGAACAACAATAACAAAAATAATAATTGCAACAATAGTAATAATAATATCATGATCGATTGAAATTTAGTTTTCTCGAAAACCACTTATTCAATTGTTATGACTTATTTTTTTAAATGATGCTAAGATTTGTTTTCTTGTGTGTGAGTGTAGTTTTGTTTACTTCTCATTACTTTTTGCAATGTTGAGTAAAGAGTCAGAAAATCGAAAAAAAAAAATTATTATAAAATGCCTTATAAAAAAAACAGCTGTAAAATAAAATCGGGAAGTGGTGGAAAATCAAGATTTATTTCCAAATAGAAGGCAAAATCAATACCCGAATCAATTCATAAAAAAAACCATTCAGTCACAACAAGTATTAGCTGCACAGTTTAAATGCAATAAAACTTTCGTTCAAAGAGTATCCAAAAAAAAATCTGAAAGAACATTACAAGAAAAAAGTACAAAAAAGTATGAAGGCAATTGGATGAGCTAAAAATTTGCTTAAAATAATTACAAAAAAAAACATTTATGCATTTTAGAAGACGATGAAACTTACTGTAAAAAATATCACTCAATGCTTCCAGATAATCGATACTAGTATCAGTCGTAACATTACAAAGCTTTTGACAAATTTGAGAACATTTGAGTTAGAAAACCATTTTCGAGTTCCTTGTATGGTAACCGATTTGCAGTTGAGGTTTTAAAAGCTCTCCTTTCATAACAAATTAATCTTGGACACCAGATCTACATGTGAGGAAATGCTTGAAAAAACGACATCTTCCTCTAATTAAAAATCAAAAATAAACAACTTCTTCTTCTAATTAAAAAGCACAAGAATTAAATTACTTGCACGTCGTAAAGTTAAGGATATATTTACTTTTATATAAATAAAAATTAATTATGTAAGCATCATTATAAAAAGAAATTCATTACAATTGGTTAAGTTGTCTTTGAGAAAACTCAATTTAGAATCGTCCGAATTTCAACCGATTATAGTGATATACAAAATTGGCTGAAATTTTAGTTTAAAGGTATTTCCAGTTTTGGAACAGACTTTATTGATTTAATGATTGAACTGAATAACAAGAATAAAAAAAGTTTTTTGGTGGTAAGCTTGTAGAAAAAACTAAAATATCTGGACTAGATACATTCAACAGGCTGCTGTATGTATTTATTTCAGTAGCAAACAACAAATGTTAAAGATTTTAGTTTTTTTTACCAGTTTACCACCAAAAAGCTTTTTTTGTTAATTTTTTGAATTTTTGCTGACTCATCAAAAAACCATCATAAAAATAATTATTACAAAAATATCTTTAAAAAGTTTTTTTTTTTGATGAGTCAGCAAAAGGTCAAATAAAACACTAAAAAGTAAAACATGGGTACTTAAATATACATGGTTACTTGAATATTAAGTATATATTATTTTACTACAGTAAAACAATTTATATTTAACTTTTGATCAACTGTTTCAAACTTGGTTTCTTGGTTTCAAGAACTTTTGAAACCAAGAAATCAAAACATAAAGAAAAAAATCTGTACAATTTCCAAGTTGCTATAATTTCTATCCTTCTGGTTCTTCATCTTTGTCCAAACAGCCTTTTCTGACAGCTCTAATCAATTTTATTCTATCCATGCCTTTTTTAGTTGATTACTTTTCTATCCGTACCCTTTTTATTCATATTTTGAACCAGTAGAAATCCGATTACCATTTTTGCTTCAAAAAGCATTCCAACTTTATTAAAAAGTTGCACTAGTCGAGATATATCATTAAAATATCGGTTTTCATTTTACCAGGTTTTAATGTATACTTCAAAGCTTTGACTGCATCCTCCATAATAGTGACAACACTGCTAATACAAACAGGTAAAAGAAACATATTATCATATTCAGCAGAATGGATTTTTGATGTAGGTATATTCAAAATGGTTGCAAAAGTTTTTAGAGTTTTGTTTCAATTTTTCCAGTGTATAAAATGCATTTACTTTGGTTGATTTTTTACCTCTTATATTATTTTTTCCTGGACGTTGAAAGGAGAATAAAAATTTATGAATCCAGCTACAGTTGAGACAAGTAAATTGAAACTGAATGTTAAACCCTTATTTTTTTAAAATCTTCCTGACAAACATTACTATGTTGTTGCATGCACAAACATTACTCAACAGGAATTTGTTAAAAGATTTTTTAAAATTCCTTGAATTTGTTAAAAAGTAGAAAAAAGTTTTAATAATAAGAGTTTGCTCGATTGATCAATGTTGAAGAACTAGTAATAGATTACACTTTTTCTCCACCGATAAGAAAGAAAACTTGACAAGGTTCATTGTTGATATTTAATTCTGCCAAAGGAACAATTTTCTTTAAGGTTCTTTTATGTATGTTGATTTTTTGAATTAATTATTCTTCTTCTATTCCTGACTACATTCTTTTTAATTACCATCCAAAATAAAAAAACAATAAAATAAAAAAGTAAAAAAGCGTTGCAAAGAATAAAAAGACACTGCTTATACAACTATCTGTTAGACTTTTAAACTATAGCTTATAAGACTCCCCTACTGCTTTTTAAAAATAAAAAAACATACAACCTTGTAGTCATCCCATGTATAAGATATAAATAGATATAGATATAAGATATAAATAGATATAGAGATAAGATATAGATAGATATAGATATAAAGTAATTGCCGATTTCAATAATTTTGTGTGCCGCAAAATTTTTAAGAAAATTTTTACCATAACCCAAAAAACTTCAATTTTTAATTCAAAAAATTAAAAAATAAAAAAACCGTAACCGTATATATTTTTGAATTCCATGATAAATTTTAAATAAAAAACAATAAAAACTTTTATTTTTATTTTTACCATTCTACCATTAACTTACCATTCTATACAACTTGAAGTTAACTTAACTATAACTCTATTTAACTTCGAATAACTCTGTTATCCTAAGTCTGTCGGTAGAAAAATCTTCTTTCAACTTAATTTGTTTTTTCAGCAGAGAAAAGAAACTATGGGATCGTCCATAAAGTACGTACGCTTGAATGGGAGAGAGGAGGTCTGCAAATGGCGAGATTTTGGGCAGGTGCTCAATTATAAAAGTAAAGAGATACAAAAAACTAAAAGAATGTCATTTAATGTTGGGTAGGTAGGTTAAAAGCGTAGGTACTTTTAGGGAGGTGGAGGGTACTCAAAAAAGCATACAGCAAAATGCGGGGAAGAGGCGAGTGAAGGAAGGATTTAAATAAAAGCGTACGTACTTTATGAATGACCCCTAATAAAAAAAAGGAAATTTTTTTTACAGCGTAATAGAAACGTTAAAAACTCTGTAACTAACTTTTACTAACTTTTTAGAAACTTTTTTATTTGTAAAAGCTCCGGTCAATTAATTCAGAAATAAATAAATAAGTATAAGAAATAAATAAGTATAAAGAGTATCGTATTAAACATTATGTTTTGCTATATAATTTTGCGTAGAAAACTGTGTTATGCTATGATTTACTAAAAAACTTTTTTTTAATAACATTTTTTGGCTTGGTATTTTGGTAACCGTTGTACTTGGTAGTGTATTAGGTTTTGTATCATTTTTTACTGTATAACAATAAATGGCTTTTTATATTACATTTAATAACTTTATGACAATATTAAAATATCAATATTCAAGATATTTCTTACTTTTCTTACTTTTCGTTTTGAAATGGTTTTTTCTTTTGAAAAATGCTAATAGTTTGATTAAACTTAAAGTAAACAAAACTTGAACAAAACAGGTCTTCAGCAATTTTCAGCAATTTTTCGGCACAATTTTTTTTTTTTTTTTTTTTTTTGCGTTTAAGCTTAATTAACGTTTATTATGTTGTTTGAAAACTAATAAAGAAATTGATGAAGTTTAAAACATTTAACAAAAACCAACTGTTTTTTTCGGAAATGATTAAAAAAGAAAAAACTACGCGTTAAGAAAATTAATTTTTTCTTATTTTAGTAAGCAATTCCTATTTTATCAAAGTCAATGATGTTCTACAGATATCTAATTTTTTTAAGTTTGTCAATATTGAGTTATGCCGCCGCGTACCATCATAATAATAACACGGTTGCTATGGGTATAAAGAAGTTTTTGGGTAAGTTTTTTTATAACAACTTTTATAAAATATTTTAGTTGATAAAACAATATTCAAATTGTTATCTTTAGTTGTTTGAAACAATTTTTAATGGAAAAAAAATCGATTTCTTTAAACTTATTTTAATGAAGAAAATCGTTACGTCAAAAAAATGTTTGTTTTTGAAGGGTATTATTTTTTTCTTTGAAAAATATTCAATTTCTGTTCTTTCGTCAACCGATTTTAAATATTACATATCAACTTAAAATATTTAGTTGGTTTTTACTAGCCCAACACAAAGATGTAGTTTTGATTCAAAATTTAAACACACACACACACAAAAAATTTTGTCTAAATTTTTAATCAAAACTCTGATATTCATGGCGGTTTATCTTACATCTTAAATTATTTAAGAAAAGTAACATAAACCGTGCATTATTTTAAATACATAATCGTTTTAAAATGCTTAATGTATTATAAAAAAATTAAAAAACTCAATTATCAAACAATTAGTGTTAATTAAAATGTCATCAAATCAAGATAAGAAGCGAGATAAAATATTGCATTATATAGTTGAAAATCCTGGTGTATCAAACCAAGGACGGTTAAATAGAAGGATGTTTAACACATTGTTATAGATCTGAGGTGCCGACAATTACTGAAATTCGAAATAATTTTACAAAATAAACTGACATTTAGCCGACATTTTTGCTTTGCAAACTTCTTTTAGTAAACATTTTATTACCCGTAAAACATTAACTTTTGGGAAACATAAATGCACTTTATGTAATTAAGAATGTCTCAATGTGATAGTAAATGTTAATTTATGACGTCAAAAAAGTATTTCCTGTAAAAATGCAATTTGTGATTCAGGCCCGTAGCAACCGGGTGGGCAGCAGGGGCATTCCCCCCCTCCCTCCGCAATAATTTTTCAAATAAATAATTTTGAAGAAATTGACTGAAAAAATGATTTTTTTAAAAAAAAGGTCCTCAAAACTAATTCAAGGTAGTACTGCCCCTTCCCCCAATATAATTTTTGTTCCTACGGCCCTGTGATATATTAAAATAAATATTGTAATGTAAAATAGAATTTTCGACGTGTTGTAGGTCATACCATAGATCATTTATAGACTAGTTTAGAGATAGTTGGCAACCATTACTCCTACATTTGGATATTGCTAATCTCTTAAAGATTTAAACTTCTCTTTATTGACAGAAATCAAATCGTTTTTTGTCTCACAACTTTGCTTTGATATTTTTCGGATTTGACAGTTATACTAGGGTTATTGAATATATAGAATATTTTTTTACAAAATAGCAAAATATATTAACTACAATACTTTACATAATAAAGTTTTTTTATTTAATTGGATAATAAGACAGTTATCATTTCGAGGTATAATCGTATAAAAGTATTTCCACGTGACCCAAATGTTTCCTATTGTTTGACTATTGTTATTTATAATAATTGCCAGCGCCCTTTTAAACAATGAGTTAAACGACCATCTATTAAAACGTCCTCGATCAAACAAAACAAATTTTAAAGATTTGCAGATTGTTTTAAGAACAGGTGAAAGAAAAAATGTTTTTGTTTAAAAAGATCTTGTTAAAAGATTGAAAGATAGAAATCCGGAAATTTCTGTTTGAATTTTAGCAAATAAATTTAAGGCAAGTGCTTCCACTTTACAAAGAGCAAAGAGAAATTGTTGTTATAAATCTTATAAAAAGAAAGACATAGCTCCTCTTCGTGAAGAAAATGAGTGGTTCCTATTTTTTAAAGTAACCCCATCTAGTCAGTAGAGAGGGAATAAAAAGATGGAGATGAGGAATAGGAGAACAAGAAGGAGTAGGAGAGGGCATTAATGAAATTTCTTCCAGCTATCGGGACAAAAAAGTTTGTCTACTCTTTACTTATTGATTTAGTTACCTATATTATATTCTAAGCACCATTCTATCGAAATGGAAAAAAAATTTTTAATTCTTACAACAAGGAATTTTGTTGCTAAGTCTTTATCTTTAAACTTCCTTAGTATATAGTATCCCATATTTTTAAACAAAACCAGTTCATTCTTAAACTTTGAACAAAATATACTTGGTCTTCATACCTTACCTTCAGTTTTGATTTAAATATTTTGAGACAGTATCCATTTGCTCATGGTTAGTCTTAAATTGTTTTTAATGAACTTAAGTCGAGAGAATGAACGTTCTCCACTGCAATTGCTTACCATTAAACAAAGATACATGCGTAGTGCAATTGAAACATATGAGAAAGTTGCCACGAGCCTATACTTACCAATAAATATGAACATCTGCAAATATCTACTTTTACTTTACAAATTTTGTTTTCAGTTGACGTAATTTTTTTGTTAAACTGTTTGAACAAAGTAATAAACTGAATAATTTTTGGATAACTGAGGCTCAAGGTTTTCATAGTATATTTCAACTTACACGGCTTTGGTTTGCAAATCATAAGATTTTAAGTATAAAATTGAGACAAAAAAACTAAACTATCAATAACACTGTATGTAGAGATTCTCGGATTCAAGGCTGATTATAGCCTGTCAATAATGGGAAGGATTGTGTGTGTTTTTAACTCTTCCGAACCGTCACGATATCCTCATCTTCTGTTTCGCTTATTTTTCTTTTATGCTCTTGTTAATACGCATCGTTTTGATACAGAATTTAACATTTCTGTTCTATTTCACTGAATTGAGAACGAAGCTCTTGAACAAACGTTTTTAAGGAGTGCAACATCTTTGTAACTGTATTCAAACCTAGTTTTGAATCTTGAAGAAGTTTGCTTGTTTTTTCAAATCTTTCTAAAACCATTAACCGTACCTGGGCCATTAGTCCAGTCTCTAATTTATTAATATTTGCATTATGCCCTTTTATTTCCAATTGCGTATCAGCTTTTTCAGTTGTTGATTCAGACAAGAATCTGTTGAGAAAGTTTCTTTTAGGCATGCACTGTTCTAAAAGACTTTCATCTATTTGCTTCCGTGTAATTTTTATATAAATATTTTTTTCAATACTATTTCTGTGCAAAGTACTGACTTTACAGCTACTTAAATGCCTTACTGCATTCTTCCAATCGTAATGACGTTTATTTGGCTTTTGCAAATAGTTTACAATTAGCTCAGAATATCTTTCCAGTTTAAATGCAATAAAACTTTAGTTCAAAGGCTATTCAAAAAAGAAAATCTGAAAGCATACTACAAGAAAAAAATACCAAAAAGGTCGATTGATTGAGCAATCAAGACAATTGGATGAGCTAAAAAAGTTGCTTAAGTTAATTATGAAAAAAAATTTATGCATTTTAGTAAACAATGAAACTTACTGTAAAAAAGTCGATGCTTCCAGGTAATCACTACTATTATTAGTCAAAACATTATTAGATTATAAAGTATCTGACAAATTTAAGTACATTTGGTTAAGAAAACTACTTTCAAGTTCCTTTTTTTGCACGCAATTTGCAGTTGAGGTTTTAAAAGCTCTCCTTTCATAACAAATTATTCTTGGACACCAGATCTATATGTGAGGGAATGCTTGAAAAAAACGATATTTTCCTCTGATTAAAAAGCAAAAATAAAGAATTTCTTCTGCACTTCTAATTAAAATCGATCTACTATTCCATAAAAGTAATTCAGTGGTATAAAAAAAAAAGAGTCAATTTTGTTTCAAAAAATGCTAATCCACCAAACTGTCCTGAGTAGAGAATTATTGAATCTTACTGGGTAATAGTGAAGGGAATATTGAGGAAAAGAGATAAATGTGAAAATAGTGTTAAAAATTTCCGAGATTTATGGGTTAATGCTACAAAAAAAGTGGCGCAAAGTAAAATTGTTGAGATGATGGAGGGTACTTTACAAAGAATTAAATTACTTGCACGTCATAAAGTTAAAGCTATATTTATTTTTATTGAAATAAAAATTAAGTAAGCATCATTATAAAAAGAAAATCATTACAATTGGTTAAGTTGTCTTTAAGAAAACTCAATTTAGAATCGTCCAAATTTCAACCGATCATAAAGATATTTTTACTAAAACTAATGTAAAGTCAGTATAACCATGTAGGTCTAATCTATTTTTGCCATAACCAATATTTATGAAAATATGACCGGTATGCCATCGTAGGTGATGTGCCATTATAAGCGCCTTTCCCCTAATTTTACTTGCACTAATTAATTATGTAAGGATTTCTAGAAGTTTAGGAATATTGAGGTGCAAAAAGAGTTGCTACCCAGTTTTGGGCAACAAGCGAGCTCTTTATTCATAAAAAATGTTACCTGTCTCTGAGAATATTCTCATTATATATGTTACTTATATTTTAAATAATTAAAAAGTATAGGATCCTTAATACAGTAAATATTTAATTATAACTTAAATGGAAAAATAGGAAAAAAAGAAATAATTGTAAATATAAATAATATGCAGTTTAATAATTTCAATAAATAAAATAATAAGCAAACAAATAAAAACAACATATTAGATTTAAATGAAACAAGTTAATTGAAAAAATAGGTTAAAAATTAAATAAATATAATTCTTGTTCTGGCCAGTATTTTATAAACAAATCCGGAAATCCGACGGTGTCTCTAGTTGGCAAAAAAATACGCACAACACCCCGCCCGCTTCCCCACGGAAGACTTCTTCGGGACAACCCTGCTCAAAGGTTGAAGTAATTGATGATTATTGTATAAAAAACATGACAGGGAACCGAATAGTCAAGATGACGTTGTTAAATGAGATTTTTAACATTTTTTTCTGCCCAGAATGAGCACATAGTTCAATAAAGCTAAATCAAAAATAGAAGTTAGAAATTGCTTTTGAACTTAAGTTGTAATGCACAATTTTTTGTTTAAATGGCTCTAAACATTTTGCGGTTGATTTCTGAAAATTTCTGAACTTTGCGGTTGATTTATATGGTTTTGAACTTTAAAGAAAGGTTCGAAACAAAATGTTTTAACATTAATAGATGATGTTTTAACATTAATAGATGATGTAGTATGCGTAGAATAGGGATGGGTTATCGAACTAAGAATTTTTTTTTTTTTGAATAAAATTACATCTTATGTTTTATTATAGTCTATTGTGAAACATTTAATAGATAAAAAGATTCAAGGCAAATATAACTATTGTTATAAATAGAATTTTCCTTGAAAAAATTTATAAAACGTTTTTTTATGAAATACCTATGTTTTACTAACCTTGCTTGACTGTGGAAAGGATATTTCAGGAACGGTTTGACCAAAACTTATCATATTTGGACAGTTTGTTGAGTATGTATCAAGTTGTGCAATAAACCTAAAAAGTGTATGAATGTATGTGTTAAAAAATATATATATACACCAAATGAAGCACGGTCTTAAGGAAAAAGTTAGTTTGGAATTTTTTTGAGGTTCACTGCATACCTCTAACATTAAGTTATGTGAAAAATTTTATTATATCTGATCTATAATCACATATTAAATTTTTTTTCTTAGTTTTATTAAATATATTCTCTTTATAAATTGTAAAAATTGTTTAACTATTAATATTGAAGATTTTTTTGTCTATAGGGTTGTGTCCCCTTGAAGTCACTAACCAAATATACGTGTATACATGTTCCGATTATTACTGGCTTTGATTAAAAAAAACTTAATGCAACCTTTAAAATTTTTTAAATTTCCAGCTGTTGTCTCTAAATAGAGTTTACGGAAAAGTTTTTATTCTTTTTGTTTATTATTTCGATGCATTTTTTTTTTTTTTTTTTTTTTGCATATAAATAAAACAAAAGTTTCAATGTGATTTTTCCGTCCATTAAATTAACACTTATAAATAGCCGTATTTTTTTTATAATACATCCTCTAGTCATTGACATATTTTTTTAAAAATTTCAACAAATTTTCATCTGGTAGCGGGTAATATACACACCATGTAAAATGACATAAAATTAATTGGTTTTAAAGTTATTTGTATTTATTTTTTCAAGATGGAATACTCTAAAAAAAATTTTATATTTTCAAAAAAATTACTGATATGTTTAATGCCGGTTGATAACTATTTTTTACACTCATTTTGCAATAAGTGTAAATAATTTTACACCGTATTTTTACATTAAGTGTTGCGCATGTTTTTAGTAAAAAGTGTAAAAAAGTACCGTATTTTTACAATTTTTACAAAAAAAAAAAGCTAAAAAGCAATGATTTTTTTAAAGAAATTTATTGTCTTTTGCCAAAAAAAATGAAAAATAGAAAAAATGAAAAAGAAAAGTAAAGAAAAGTTCGCAAATAAGATTTATAAAAAGAAAGTCAAACAATGTACGTAATCGCTAACCTTAACACCCCTGTTCTAGTAGGCACTTTTCCTGTGTATGTATTTTATAAATGAACAGCACATGGAAAAAAAACATTATAGGGTAAATGACCCAGTGTTCGACGCCTTTTTTTGCATAGTTTTATATAAATAATAATTTTTCACTCGTTATTTCATAAAATTTTGCTATCAATGTTTTATCGAATAAAGAGATGCTTTTTACAATGACTTTGAGTGAATGACATCCGAAAAAAAAAAAGAGGGGTTAGAGCCCATGAAATGTCAAAATGTCGAACACTAGACGCCATCCTTAGTTCGACGTTTTTGTTTTCTAGTATTCGACACTTATTAAATTTTTTGAAAATTTAAGTACTTTTTCAAACACAGGTGTTTAAATGATACGTAGCAAAACGAAAAAGTATTCTTTTATAGTTTACAACGTAAAATATAAAAAAAAAATGTTATTATTGTTATTAAATGTGTTTATATTCTTTTAAATCATTCGATAAACGAATTAACGATTGCAACCAGCAATCGTTAATGATTCTGCAAATAGAACTTTACAAAACATCAATAATTCCAAACTTTACGATCCTTAAAAATTTTATAGAGAATTGTTATTTAACAATCATGACAATCCAAAAAATAATATTTTTTTTATAGTAAAACTCTAAAAACCCTAGCAAACAAACAAACAAAAAAATTCTGTCAATGACTAGAATGCGGTCTTGTCGAAAACTGGAAAAAAAATCAATAAATTATAGAAGTGTTAGTTTCAAACATAAATCTTTGGCCAAAATTACATAAAATATGTGGCTCAGAACCCTTATTATACGATTAAGTAATAATACTAATTTTTTTTTATTGTCGAATACTGGAAAACATAATAAATTGCTTCCAGTCTTCGACACCCCTTCTACCACGACTTCCAATTTAATTTTTTTATTTTAAATGGTTCTACATTTATTTCATATATTTCAGTGCCAGCATATAAAAAAAAAAATTCAAATTACATTTGTCATGAGTTTCTTGTGGTTATCATGGAAACAGTTATGAAAATTATTCCTCAGAGTTAAGCGTATTTACGGAACTTGTTTTGCTCCAAATCATCGTATGCATGTTATATAATCATCGCATGTTTATGTTTACAATAGCCATCTTCCTTCATATATAAAGGAAAAATAGGTGATCATTTCAGACTCTATTTTAGCACTTTACATCAGTTAGTGTTTACTCAGCCTATTTTTCTCGAGAAAGTATATTTCTCGAGAAAGTACTCAGCCTATTTTTCTCGAGAAAGTATTTTCGAGAAAGTATTTTCGAGAAAGTATTTTCGAGAAAGTATTTTCGAGAAAGTATTTTCGAGAAAGTATTTTCGAGAAAGTATTTTCGAGAAAGTATTTTCGAGAAAGTATTTTCGAGAAAGTATTTTCGAGAAAGTATTTTCGAGAAAGTATTTTCGAGAAAGTATTTTCGAGAAAGTATTTTCGAGAAAGTATTTTCGAGAAATATTGATCATTTATTAAAGTCTTTGTATAAAGTTATGAAAAAATATTTTTTTAAAAGAAATTTTATTAAAAATGAAAAAAAACTTTAGATAAATTAATCAAGAATTTTTTTTTCCTTAATTTTTTTATAAATGACCAATATATACTTTCTTAAAACCTTTTAAATGTGGTTAGGCACTTTTTTCTCCGTGTACTCTCATATTATATAGTTACATTTGTTACATGTATAATAGTATATATATATATAATTATTTCGTTAACACTTTGAATAAATTTTTTTTAAAAGTAAACAAACTCGCAACTCGAGGATTTGGTCGTGTATTAACATGGAACGTGAAGAAGTTAGGCGCCTGCTTGAGACAAGACAATGTAGCTCCGTTGAAAGAGGTTTTTTTTAATAATTTAGTTTTTTTAATTAATTTTTGTAAGGCGGCAGGGTTATGCAAAGAAGATAATTGCCGTGGAGATTAATTATAAAAAGGATGTAAAACTAAAAACACGAGTGCATAAAAATTAAATTGAGTACTTTCGTTTTACTAAAAAATATATTATGTTTGTTTAATTGAAAATGAAATTAATCAGAAGTTGTTTTTTAATTATGGAAGCTTAAAACACCCCCGGGAAAATTTTCTTTGCAAGATCTAATAAGATCTCATTTTAAAAACTTTTTACTATATTAATAACTGTTTGAACTATTAAGTAATTAAAAATTCTTAATTAGTAGAAGTAATCAAGCAACAAAACTATTTGTTTGTCTTTTTTGTCCGAGTATTTTAAAATTAATTCTTGGGAAACTGATGGCGCGAAATCCAAAAATATGTTGTTGTTGCTTATTTTTTAACATTAAATCTAGTTTTCTTTTTATAGAATACTCTTTTAGTAATAAATGGCAATTCAATCAAAATGCCAATACAAACTCGGTTGAAAACTACGTAGAAATGTCTTCAACTTTTTTTCATGTAATTGGATGAACAGGTATGAAATAAAGTAAAAAAACGAGATAAAAATAAAAATTTACAGTAAAAACTTTCGTTTTTGCAACTTTCTTGGTTTGGAACCAATTTCCAACTTCCAACAGTAGTCTGAAATCAGTTTGGAAAGATCTCATTTTTCAGTACCAATTTTTCACGTGGCATCAATTGCGCATCTATTCTTACTTCCAGTTTAGTTTGCAGCAGCCAACTATTTTTATTCAAAATATTATATCTGCTATCTTATAACAAAAGGTTAATCAAGAACTTACCATCTTTAGATTCAAACATATTGATGGTAGTTGAATCTGCTGTCTTATTGTAGTTGAATCATGCTGAATCTTTAATACCATTTTACTTGAGTTTTGGAACAGTAGTAGAGTTATGGAATAGCTAAAGAGTAGTACGGCAAAAAAGTTTTACGCAGAAGAACACAATATAAACCTCCATTATAAAGTAAATAATTATTTAACAACCAATTTTATAAGGACACCTTGAATACTGATATTTTTTTTGTTTGTGACAAAATGCCAAGAGTTTAGCCGTATCTATGGTCTCTTTTTAAATCACTTGACGTTTTTAGTTAAACAATACTAGTTCGTTAAAAGCACAATATTTTTATTACTTTTAAATTGAAGATGAAAGTTTGGGTAGTTGAATGATTTCTGCTATTTTTTTTTAATACTTACTTCAGTCATCAACATGATTCATTTGTTTCCTGCAAACAATTTGCATTGCAAATCTTGTTAGATTTCCTAAATGAAAAAGGTGTCACAGGTTTAAAAATAACATATTATGTCCATAATTTCTGTAAGCTCAAAGCTTAATTCCAAAATAACCAAAGAGACTTTTTTTATGAAGTCTGTAATTGGTTTTCACTTTTCTCTTGTTTTGCGCAAGTCTTCCCTATAAATGTTTCTCGTGTATATAATTTTTTCTCGTGTATATAATATAATCTCGTGTATATAATATAATATAAATTTTTTCTCGTGTATATATAGGGTTTCCCACTTCATTTCGACAATGTATCATTCAATTTCGACATTGTATCAGTACATTTCGACAATGTTTCATTCAATTTCGACACCGTTGCATTTGATTTCGACTGTTTTGCATTCAATTTCGACAGCGCTAATAATACTTAAATTAATATACAAATAAAGCACTTAGATTCTTTCAAAATTCATTTAGATAATATAATTTTTTAGTTTGGATACAAACTAAAATCTAAACAAAAAAATTATCGTATATAAAGTATTGTAATTGCAAATACTTGCTAATAAAAATAAAAATTACAAAAATAAGTTTATTCTTCAATAATTGGTTCTCTTCTTGAACACGGGAATCATATACCTCAGTACTGCGCAAAATAATTATTACAGTTTGTGCTAGTAATATTCAATGCACCGTTTTGTATATTTTCAAGTAGTTCCTCCTCAGTCCTAGACGAACATCTCCTGATAAACTGTTTCCATTCAGAAAACATATTTTCAATAGGGAAAATATGGAGGTAAAAATATCAAAGAACGCCCAGCACGTACTATTTCATTATGAACAACAGCAGTTTTATGAAAATGAACATGTCTAAAATTAAGATAGCTCCAACAACTTCATTAACAGCTAATTGTGCTAATATTAAACAAATAAAATCTAAAAAGTTTTCTGTATTAAATGCTCTTGTTTGTGATTCATATTTCAAAATTTGTTTTTGTTCATTGCACAACAGACGGAAATATTTCTTAACCGTATATTGGTCACTGTTTCTGTGATCCTCTTTCCAGCTAAAGAACGTCCTCTTCTAACTTGCATTGAAAGACTAAATCCTATTTCGTCAATAAAGAATATTTTATTGTCATTTAAAGAAGACAAAATGTTCATGAATTTTTCTGCATAAGAAACTCTTTCATTAATAACGTCTTCCGAATTTCTTCTTTCTGGAATATTGTGAACACGTTTCAAAGTATAATTAAAACTATGAATGCATCTTGCTATAGTAGATTGACTGACTGAAATGGATTTTTGTTCAAAAAGTTTTTGTTTAATTTCCTTAAGAGTTATTCCACAATTATCATCAATTTAATTTTTGATTAGTACCTTGGATTCTTCTGTTAATTTTTTGTTTCTAGAACCACCTTTTAATTGCCGTTCTACCGGCAAACCATTTTTATATTTTTTAATAATCGAATAGATTGTAGTTCGTTTAAATCCAAGAATATTTGCAATTTCTGATGGTGAGTCTCCATTTAAGTAAGATTCAATTATCCTTGAACGGTTTTCATTGTTGATTGTTTGATTCGGCATTGCTGTTTATAAATATTGAAAATGATATTTAGGCTTTTATTATGAACTCTTGTTGTATTGAAGAGTCAAATGCTTTTATTTACTTAAGAGCCGTTTTTTCTAAGAATCAGGCAAATTCCTGAAACTGTGGAAGTGACCCCGTCCAAATTGCTTGAATTTTTTATATATTGATCAGAATATAGAGAAAACCTGTTGAGGAAAAAAAAATATTTCAAAAATGTTTCGTTCACTCGGAATCTGGGCTTAAATTTTTGAGATTTTTTTCAAAATTTTTAGAAATTTAGTTTTTGCCACCTTTAAACCCATTTTTTTGGCAAGGCAAAAAGTTGCACATAGCTTTTGTAGTTAATATCAGACGTAACCCAAAAAGCTCTCTCCAAAAAATATAAAAAAGTTGCGTGACACTGTGCGGTTGGCTAATTATCATAGTTCAAAAGTACAAAATCAATCAGTTTTGTCAATTTTTAATCGGAGTTAATTCTAGCGGCGAAGTGTTGCACACAATTTTTCTTTTAGGATTTGAAATTATCAAAGGTATTGAGTCTAAAAATGCAAAGAAAGTTATGTGATACCTAAGGCCTATTAATATATTAAGGCTTGAAATTGGAAAAAAATGTTTTAGTATACTTACAAAATGAATTTTGCCATTACGGCAGAGGCGCTTAGTTTTGTAAAAATGTAAACATATCCAACTGTCAATACAAAAAGGTCCTAACATAATAATAAAAAAAATTCGTGTGATTTTGTCACACGCATGATATAACATGAATTAAAAACTGAACAAAAATCTAACATCAAAATAACTATATTGCTAATTAAATAAAACATAAATCAAACATTTAAATGTTTTTCCATTTAAAAATTAGTTTTTCATTTATTAATAGAGTCATTTACACACATTATCCACCACATCACACATAATTTCTACTCTGCTGCAGTAAGTTTCTCTAAGAATAATGATATGACTGTATTATAGTCTTCTTCGGATAATGAATAATCGCCACAACCACTGATTAGAAAAGGAGCATTTACTAAACAGATAATTTTATCAGTTTGGTTATTTATCTCCTTGGTAGTAACTGGCCAGCGAAAAGTATTCTTCTCTTGCCCGTTAATCATACAATTAACTCTGATCCCAGTTATAGATACCTAAAAGTATTAGCGCAACATTTAAAATAATATAATAAAGAGTTTATGATTTGTTTAATTTTGCTTACATTCAATAAAACTTGTCAAGTCTTATATAATGTCATTCTGAAATTATTTTTACATTTTATTTATATTCCTTTTATTTTAGAGCACTGTTTTGTAAAACAAAATAAAAACTTGAAACTAATATATACTTTGAATAATATTATCTCCACAATATATCCAATATTCCATTGTTTTTCATATGCAACAGCAACCTAATCATTCACTTTCCATACAAGACAAATTTCTTTTGCAAGATTGGCGATGTCTTCCTCATATTTATTATCATCTTCATTGTCTCCTGTCAGATTAAAGTCATCATTTTCGCCATAAACTTCTTTGTTATCGTTAACCTGACTATTTTCATTATTTTCTGTTGTCGGTTCTACCAGCTTACCTTTTCTTTTCAGGTTACTAAATCTATAACAATATCAATTGTACATATTTTTAAACATATGTAAACAAACACACAAAATTATAACTTTCACCTAAATTTTAAATTCATATTTGTAAAAGAACTATTTAACAGTCAGAAACATAATCTAATTTGGAAAAGTTTTGATAGCAACAATGCCTACCTTGAAAATAATGATCTTATCTGTTGGCCAGTTACATATTGATCAGGCGGAAGTTCTCTCCTCAGCTGCATGTGAACCTGCTCAGGGCTCATTTTATTACCTGATTCTTCTCCACGAATAAAGTATTTATACAACAGTTCTTTCTGCTGATTTGAAAATCTAAAAGAACTTCGAACTGGTAATGCCCAACCTTGCAATAGAAAAATGTTCATGCAATGTGGTTTGTCTTTTACGGAAGCACTGTTAGAGGATGAAGAAATTGGCATATTTAGTTGTGAAGTAATTTTCATCTTATGAACAAACGAGTTGAGAACTTTATCCAATGATGTTAATGATTTCGGAACTGTATGAAGACCGGATAGCATGTGTTCTTCTAACTCAGCATCGCTTTCAAATGATAAAGTACAATTCATTTCAGTGCAAAATCTTAATGAACATAATTGCCTGTCACTTCTTTTCTGTTTTTCCTTAAGTGACTTGTTACGCTTAATTGAATTAACTGTTTTGCTATATGGCAACAACAACTTAATCGAGGGTTGAATTTTAAGATTTCCATACTCTTGTTCAATTCCCTCACCGATATTGAAATAACGCCACATCTTCATACTTTTCTCACCAAACTCAAATGAGTGATAGTTGCTAATGTTCTTAATCTTTGGTCCAGTAACTACAGTTTTATCATTGCTAATTTGAGCAACTGCTACTTTTGCATCTTTAGCGCCAAAACTATAATGCATAGCCTTGTGTATATCTTCAGCAGTCAAAAGATTATTACCAGAGTCAACGTAACTTCTTAAAATTGTCTTTACAACTGCACTCTCCCTGTCACACTGATCTTTTCCACAACAGGGTTCATTATAATCATATCTCAGCAACTTTATATCTCTCTCTTTGCATACATTGTAGATTGCTTCAGCTGAAAGATTTCCCTGATAGCAGCCGGCATTATCAGATTTAGTAAACATTTTCTTGATATGCGGTTGATCAATTCTGAATTGGTCTAAAACTGCAGTGGCTAGCGAAACAACATCACCTATTCTCTGATCACACCTATACATTGAAGTAAAGTAAACACGTTTGAATAACTTTCCTGCTATTTTTATGAAGAATATATCCACATGTAAACTCATTCCTTTCTTGCCAAAATACTCTCTTTGGCCCTCTCTGTATCGAACCGAAAGAATTTTTTGACAAAAATCTTTAAGCCAGAAAGCAGTTTCATCGTTTAATTGCTTAAAAGCTTCGAATTTTGCCTTTTTCTGTTGAGAATCTCTCATCAGGTGTTTTATATAGTTGAATACATCCTTTACAGCAATTTCCAAATCATAAATAGAATCAGCATCGTCAGAATTTTGAATTGTTAGTTCTTTGATCATCTCGATAGCTTTGCACAAATCATAGCAATCGGCACATCTGATATCTCTGTGTTGGATTGAAGATTTTTTTCAGATGGATCTGATAAGGCATGTTTTGAGCTATGAGAAGAAATGTTTGAGTCATTGACACTACAATTGGTTTGATAACTTGTTTTCAAATACCTTTTTCCTTTTTCAAGGGCAGCTTCGAGAGATTTAGAACTAAATCTTTGTGCCAATTTTTGTAATGTTTGAAAACCATTTATGTTTGAAGCAGTAACATCATCTAATCCAGCATTACTTTACTTTTTCGACTTGAAGGTTTTATTGCATGCAATACTTTCCACAAACTTGAATCAGATAATGGTATATAATTGTTTTCACTACAAATTTTTCGATAGAACATGATAGCGTGGCTATATTTTGTCGTCAGTATTGCATGCACTATCTTTTGTTCTTCACCGCTGTCGTATTTTAATTTGGTTATTCCATAAGCAACAGCATGCAAAATACCGCTTGTAAATATAAAGTCTAAGAAATGTTCACACTTTGTTTGATCAAGACTAGATCGGACGAATACTTTCTTCTCTGGAAATGCCAACCCTTTATGAGATGCATGCCATTTTCTTGCTGTTTCTATACGATGTTTCGTACACTCAAATGTGTTCATTATAAACTTTTTGGTATACTTGGTATGGTCTAGTAATGAGAGGATAACTAACTTTCCCATGGAATCACTTTGCTTATATACTTTCTGAGCATGAATAATTTCAATTGGGAGAGGGCTTTTTATTTCATCAACATTTTTACTGTTAAGAAAATCTATAAGTATTTCCTCTTGTCCAGGAGCAACAGCTTCCGCAAATTTTTTCTTTAATAAGTTTTCGAGGCGAACATACTTGCGTTTTAACTTATCTTTAGTAGTATCTTCCAGATATTCGAACTTCCTTTTTAATCTAAATTTTATTGGACTTGCATTAAGAACCTCAGTTACACTCTCACGGCTTCTTAGAGATTCGTCCAAAATCTCCAGTGAAACATTAATTTCACCGGGATCAAATTCTTCATCTGGAGTAGCAGGTGTCATATATGTTTGTTCTTGTTGTGTTTGTGTTTCTGTACATAAATTGGTGTTTTCGTTGACTCTAGATAAAGCAGTTTCTTGCTTTAAATGGGTAAAACACAGCATTGCACCAACTGAAAATACTTCATTGTATCGCTTTGACATTGATATGACGACATGTATTGGTGACGCCCTTAAAGCGGGAGATTTTTTTCCTTTTATATTTAGATGGTGAGGATGAAAGCATGTTTTTGGAGGACTCCATGCAATACCAAACGTGTACCGGTGAAAAGCACATATTTGTTCATCCTTTTCAAGATTTCTTTTAAGTCTATTTGCAATAAGTCCATTTTCTTCCCAAATATTATTATCGTTTAATCGCATTACCTAAAAACAATTTTTTAAACAATTATTAAGTGTGTCATTTAAAGCATTGTTTATAATCTGACTCTTCACGAAAAATGTTTACAAGTTTAAAATACATTGTTGTTATTATTAAAATACAATATTGCAAGAGTGTGATTAATTTAGTGATTATTTATTAAAAGAGTGAGGAATTAATTAAAAGAGCTATTTTTTTTTGTTTAAAGAACTTTGTCTCAAAATCTTATTGCAGAGAAGTTATAAAGTATGTAATTATAAAAATTATATTACAGTCAACATCTCCCAGCTGATGAATGTAGAACATTTTGTTTATAATTTTATGTTTTTTGAATGATCCACAATTTCCTTTTGAAAAGCAACAACAGTTTTCATAAAAATATTTGTTTTGTTCCATACTCAACTAAAAACAAGTTCTATTTATGCAGTACCTATTTCTCAATAGCAATGATAAAATATCTACTCTATTTATGCAAATTTTAAAGATCGTTAAAATAAAGTTAAGACTTTTTTATGGTAAAGTAAACAACCGCCCACTAACTTGTTTCTCCACAATCGTGATATCAGCGATTCTTCTTCCATTCGATCACCACAAGTTATTTGGTTATGACGTAAATTTAAATAATTAACTTCTGATCATGTATTGTTTTTTATTATTATTTATTTCAATTGTTATGATTTCTATATCACAGTCAGAAACGCTTAAATTTTTTCTTAACATTACGTGAAATGTTTTGTGTAATGCTAATTGCTAATTTTGGATGATAGAAATTTTATTGTGAGCGAAA